TTTTCTCTTTATATATATTCAAGATTTTCCTGGTACTGCTAATGAAGAAGCAAAGCACGTCTTGAACCAAACATTTATACCTATATCTCTGTTTGAAAATTCAGTCTTTTAGGTTAGTCAAACTTTCAAACATTTTGATCAGGCAATATATATGGAATAATGTGCTAAAACCAGACACAAGAGAGACAGAAATTGCACAGAGAAAGTACATGCTAGTCATGACAATACATTGCATTAGATTTGAACTTTACAACAAAAGACTTATAGCTGCCAGATGTGGAAACTGCTTTTCACTTCTAGACTGGGGTATTCTTACAAACTATTATGCACTTTCATATATATGAAATAGTATTGAACCGGTATTTGTGAGCTAGTTCAGGTCCCAGAGAGAGTACAAGTGCACTCACATAGCACTTCAACCAAGATATAAACCCCTAAAACAAACAACCCCCCTCCAGAAGTTTAGAAGGACACACCCAACTAACAAAATCATCATTTGAAGTATCAAAATTAAGTGAATAGGAACTTGTTGCTTGCAATTTTTGTAATTCAGATTTGTCTCTTCAAAACAAAGTATTTTTCCCAATTAATTATGGTTTGCCTACATGCATATTATTGTTCTTAACAAAGACATCAATGAAGATGAACTATGCATGCTAGGAAATATATGAACAGGAGATAATGAACCACAAAAAAGAGCTTTGCAAACAACAGGAATGTGTATTTCACTTCTCATTTAACTATTTCAGAGTGTCCTCTATTCTATTAAGCTTTCTGAAAAGGCAGACAATTATTAATTCTATAAATATGCTGCAATTGCTTTTGACATGTGCTTCCTTAGCCATGGAAGAAGAATGCAAGTAGAAATAATAGGGAAAAAATTGCTAGGAAGGGTGAAATTACCTCATGGACTTTTTTTTTCTATGTAATACAATGGCCTAGTAATTCTAATTATAAGGAAGACACAGTATTTCCACCTATTGATTTTTCAGGGACCTCTTGCAGTTTGCCATCTTAAAATTTCACCTGTCCTAGAAGGGAACATCTTGTGAAATCTTGATGTTCTTCAATGGCATTATGCTTACAGAACAGTAAATATGGTGTAAAAGAAGTTAAATAACTGCAAATTTTGTGGTCCCTTCACAATGCTATAAAATTCCTTTATCGTTGCACATTTAGTACAGTAGAGTCCTCACTTGCAGACTGGATCCTTTCACATTAGCAGATTGAATGAAGGGCCACAAAAACATCAATTATGACAGCTTGTTCCTAAGACCACTTAAATTGTTGCCCAGACATTAGGATAGTTTGGAGTGGTCCCAGGACCTCCATGAACCTGGCTATAGCTTCAAGTGTCAGGTCTAGCAAGGGATTATCTAACCGCAGGGGATCTCTGGAAATAGGTTCTTCTTCTTGCTTATATTGCATGCTGCGTAACATTTATATGGTTGTGGAGCAAGGGCTGGGATGCAATCACACATCAGTTATCATCCCATTGAAAGATACTGACAGTGAATGTTTTGCAGGACAGATGAGCTGTATGTGTAGAAACCAAGGCATACTTTTTAATAATCAAGTAGTATAGTCCTTTTTGAAGCTCCATTCTAACCTGCTTTTAACTTCAAACTTTTTTTTAATATGCAGGAAATAATATGTCAATATAATATAAAATGAGATAAAAATGTTTTATTCATAGAGTTTTTGTATGCCTTGATTACCACAGCTTTTCCTGCACTCAGGCCAGCTGGTACAATATGTACTGTCTTCCATGTTTTGTTGCTGTTTTCTTGTATTAAATATGTCAAAATTTTATATCTGAGCAATAAAAGTTGGTAACATAGGTCTGATGCATAGTAATGAAGGTAAAACAACAATGTATAATAGTAATATCTTGGTAAATCAATTAATATGTTCATGGCTAACGATAAAGAAATATGAAAGATTAGGCAAGAGTGAGGTCAGTCAGCGGTACCACAACAAGGGTTTGGGTGAGGAGTATTCATAATCATTAAAAAGTTATCTGCATGCTATTTTTTCAAGCCAAAATAAATCTCTCTTTTTCTATTTCTTTGCCTGAAAGCCTGAATAGATAGCAGTGTCTCAGTGCAGAGGGTACATATGGGGATGCTTAAATTTAAACCTCTCTACTCACCTTTTTGGTACAGTTCTATCTAGATATTTATCAGCTGTTTCTGGGCCCTGCATATTGCTACTTCCAATTTCCTGAGACAAAGCAAAATCCACCACCTTTAACTTTCCCAAAGGTCCTTTTAGGAAATTAAGATCATTCTCTTGGAGACACACATTTAGCTTTGACACCAATAGCAATGACTTTGCAAAAGAGATTCTATTTCCTCATTTCACATACCACAGAAAGAAACTGAGGAAGGCAAAACGTCCGTATCCTAGCCTGGCTCAACTACCTGTTTATTTTCCAGTGCTCTTTCAGATGTGGTTTAAGTCCTTACGTGACTGGGACTGCCTCACAGTTTTCTCTCTGAATAATGGAATATTTATTTCACCCTAATCCCTGAGCCAGCTTATTCTCTATTTGGTTTCTTCTGCCTCTCCTTTTATAAAATGGCTTCTGAAACCCCTTTTCATTACTGTCTGGACTTTCTCTTGAAAAGTTATGCCTCCTCTCTCCCTTGATCCATCTCATCAGTTAATCAAAATCCTCAACTACTTGACAGTTGTTAGCTACTGCAGTTCAGGCCAGAACAATCAGTTTGTTCTGTGCATTAGACAACTATTTCTCTACAAGAGCTTTTGGGTGAATAACAGATCACTGATGTTAGATGCAACTTCTGCTGTTAGCAATATATTATCAACTCTGGGGTATTTGAACAGAGGTTCAAATACCCCAAAAGAGATTCTACATATTAAAGGTATAGCTTAAACAATGACACAGATATTAATAGAGAATCTTCAGATTCATGTTGCCTTCCTTATTTCTTTGCTTACCAGCTTTAACAAGGAATATAACTCTTACCTAAGCTGTACAGGTAAGCATGGCAAGGCATCTTTCACTACCTTTATTTGGATGGATAAAAGGGACATTCTTCACCTTAGGATTTTCTTTGAGTTTGTAAATAATTGTGTATACAATTGTGAAGAAACCTAGAGCTCTGAAGTGGATGTGCTTGGATTCCATAAAGAAGAATGCCTTCACACTACAAAAGGGCAGGTTTCATCTGGTAAAAAACCCACCATAGTTTAACTTTCTGAATAGATAACACTCAAAGTGACTACAGAAAACAGAGTAGAAGTAAACAGCTTTCCTAACTGTTGTGGGGTTCTTGCAGGCAGATCCTTACCTTCAGCCAGCTTTCTCACTGGCAGCTGACTTCAGTGCTAGGACCTTCACCACAGGAAATCTGCAACAAATCTTCCTTGAGGTTATCACTTGGAAGGGTGCACAGAAAGATTCAAAGACATGTATTTTCACCCTGTTCCATTATAGATTCTGAGGAAGTGCCTTAATGTTACCAAAACTTGGCTAATAGACAAGCCTCTCACTTCTCCATACAGTCTCAGTGAATTCTACCCTATAATGTTCAAAGCATCACATAAACCAGAACACAAGGTGAGGTTAAACTCAAGGCTGCAGATCTGGTCACAAGCACAGCACAGAGCCCATAAAAGGAAACAGAGCAGTTTGCTAAACTATGCAATACATCAATCCTTTATGCTAAGTACACTTTATTTACAGGACATTTGCGGATTTAGAACGATGATGAATGAAGCTGCAAAAGACAGTTTGATTTTCATCACTTCAAGGTAGAGAGCAGAGTAAAAAGTATTTGTGATTTTATCTTTTTTAACCAATCCCTAATAGTTAATCCAGAGGCATTTCTTTTTGTTTACTCAGTCTTGTTTCTTATTATTTTCCCATCTTCTGCTTTATTTTATAGCCCTATGTCTGCTCAGTGAGTCTGGGGAGCACTCTGTTTTACATGCACCACTGCATGGACAGATAGGAAGTTTTACCAAGGTCGACAGATGCTAACCTACTCAGAGAAGACAAGTTACTGTGACTTCCTAGTTCAGCAAACTATTATTCTTCCATGGTATCAGTTTGGGCAACATCAAAACTGCAATAAAAAGTGCATTTTCCACAAGAAAGACAACAGCAAGAGCATGATAATATTTTATAAATATAGACATTTTCTCTTCTCTCAGAGCCTGCATGGAATTCAGTAATAATACCAACCATGGAAAGAGTCACTTAGTACAAACATCAGCTAGTGACTCTGGCCTAACATTTAACAGGTTCTTTTATACATGGATTCCTGTCTGCATATTTCTATTTCCCCCAAAGCTTGATTCTTGTAATGTACTTGTTTTTTACACTGCCAAAACAATCACTGATCCATATGATCTGACCTCTTAGCAAAAACATTTTCAAGTGTGATCTGTTTTTGTTTTCCAGAAATCCACCATTAACTGTACATTCCCCTGCTTAAAAGCAATTTTTATGAAAAAACAAAAATATTTCTATATTTTTTTTCATCATGTATCTGAACATGCATAAGAAATGTCACTGCAGTACCACAGACTGGTCATTATCTTTCGCTCTCTCTCTTCCCCCCCCATTTTTCTATGACATATAGAGAATGTTGGTGTTAATATAACAAAGAATGGTTTGCTCAAGATCCTGTTTGTTTCTGCTGTGTGCTAGGAGAGGAAAGTCAGAGGGTTGACTTGGATTGTCATTCACAGAGTTCAATTTCTTACTGTAACTACTCATCAACTTCTTAAACCAAATAAAGCAAAGAATTCTGGAACAGACATAGTCTACATGATGAAGTCACCATTCCTAAGCCATGGTGTTATATTTAAACTGTATACTGAGCTATATATCCCACTCTGGTATGAAGGGCAAGTCAGTGTCACTGATGGAAAAGGAAAAAAAAAAAAACAACATTTCCCCCCTTATTCTAGCATTGTACAATATCAATTGTTTCCCACACTGCTAGTAGGAAAATCTATGTTCTTACCCCACAGCCTATTCCGTTGCCTGGTTCACATACAATTTTCCTCACTCCTGGTTCAGGAAGCAAACCCGCTCCACAGCCGGGAGTTGGACACAGCACTCCTCCCATCTGCAGCACACACTCCTCGGCCCCATAGCGCTGGTAGCGGTTGTACTGTGTGGGATATTAAAATCAAGAAAAGAGCAGATTCTTTCTGTAAGTAACCCCAAGAACTCTTATACTGCTGTAAAAAAATACTATAAATATCATAAATATAGTCCAACAACAGATACTGATAAATGCTGTATAAGGATTGAAGAAACCCATAAACCCCACCCCCCTCAAGGATCTATAGCTAGAAGTACCGTATAATGTTTTAGAGACAGAGTTGCAAAAATTGCCCAGCCAACTTTATTTTCTAAATAAATTTCATGTAACTGATTGGCAAAATAATTTGCTGATATACATTTATTTCAATGTTAGGTGTATTTTTTTCCCAGGGTCTCCCAGGAAATTTTCTTAGTTTTCACAGCTCTCATCTAGTTCCATCTTGACAGCTCAGAAGGCAATGGAAATGCCTCCATGTTAATGATGGAGACACTGACACACAGCAATATTAAATAACATGCTCACTGTATCTTCACTGACAAAAACGCCCACTCTAAAATGACTGATGCCATTGCAATAACTTTTCTGCGTCTAACTCACCCTGCCTTCAGCTGGAGATAAGCTGAACAAGTACAAATCATGCTGCGTACATTTAAATCACATCCACTCTAGGGTTCTGTGCTGATGCAGTTCCACACTAGTGGCAATATAACCATTGTAAACCAGGCTTCAGATTTGCCTATAAATCTGGTCTACTGCAGAATGAAATAAATGAAAGCATTTCGTCCTAATAGCCCCAAAGAAAACAGGAAAATCCAAAAGGCCAAAGAGGAAGGGAGTAGCATGAATTTTCTCTGCAAGCAGAATGACTTTATGGTGTGCTAAAGGAACAAAAAAGAGCTTTATGTTACAGCACTCACAACAGTATTTAGTGCTTTCATAAACTTTCATCCCATGCTCATGGAACTCTTGTTCTGGGGGGGGGCCAACAACAACAACAACAACAACAAATCTCACCAATCCACACCCCTCTCCAAAGAAATCCTACAATGAAAAAGGAGGTAATAGGACCAAAACCTCATGCACAAAGGATACAAAGAAGAATTTAAAATTACAGACAGGGTCTCCACTGCATATTTTGTGGGTATATTTAAGAAGATTCTTCTGTCAGTGTTGCCATAACATGTCTTGTTATGCTTGGTTTTTAAAAATACTGTATGACTTCTTAAAAGACTATAATATATAGACATAAAAGTGTTGCTATTATTATGGTTGAACGTGTAGTAATGGCATAAATATTTAATGTTGGACTCTCAATTTTCAGAAAAGTTTGTGATCCTTGCACTAAATACATGCTGAGTGCTCTGAGTCATTCTGCTGGCTTTGAACACAAATATGGGAAACCACAGTTGCAAAACTCCCTGCTGACCTAATTTTTCTTCAGGGCAGAGACTGAACCTGAAGGTGAGGATGGTGACTGTCTTAACCCACTAAGAGGAAACATTGTGCTGAATGTGGGATTGTTAGCAGCTTCTCATTATGGAGGGAAACATCAGTGACACTGTAGCCGAGATTCTTTCAGCATTTCCATTATAAATTCTCAGCTGAAAAAAAGGATTTGCTTTCCAGTCATTAACTTAGCATAAAAGGGCATGAAGAGATTCCTTCTGTCTCCTCTCTTTTTTTTTTTTTTTTCCTGATAAACAAAAATGGAAATTAGGCAAGATGGGTATCAGTTTGCCTTGTTACAGAAAGGGAATGTCTACTGCACCTACTGGCAAAGTGGACAAAGCCGTCAAAGTCTATCAAAAAAATTCAACATTTTGTAGTGGTTCAGCACAGAACTCATGCCAAATCAGTATAGCACTCTCATCAGCGATTTCCACACTATAAAAGCCAAAAAATTGATCAATTTGAAGACAGGAAAGATCCTACTAAATGTGTTTGCACATCTTGACATCTAGTTACCAGCCTATTTTCTGCCTTTAAAGTAGAGATACATTTATAAGATATCATTTTCCAATTTCTTTTTCCTTATCCCTTTACACTAGGCTCACTTAAAACTCAGCAAACAAATAAAACATGTAGTAGCATAACGTTTACATGTTTGCTGCTATAACACAGCCATACATAACATGCTTTATTCAGTGACCTGAAACAAAATGACTCACTTTACATTAAGGGTGCATTAATAAAAAACTTGTAAAGGACCAAAACATGTACTAATTACACAGAATCACAGAATTGTAGGGGGTGGAAGGGACCTCTGGACATCATCTAGTCCAACCCCCCTGCCAAAGCAGGTTTACCTAGAGCAAGTTACACAGGACTGCATCCAGGTAGGTTTTGAGTATCTCTGGAGAAGGAGACTCCACAGCCTGTTCCAGGGCTCTGTCACACTCACAGTACAGAAGTTTTTCCTCATGTTTAAGCAGAACCTCCCATGTTCCAGCTTTTGCCCATTGCCCCTTGTACTACCACTGGCCACCACTGAAAAGAGTCTGG